CATAAACCCTTGCGTGACTCTAAGCTCTAGTTCATGCTAGTTCTCCATAATAACCCGGATCTCAATGTGATTAAAAATCTGCTTTCTGTTTTGAAGAGAGAGATCAATGTGCTACCTGTACATTGGACATTGGAGGCACAAGTGCGATACGTAATGAAGAACAAAATAAAAAACGACTTTATAACAAAGTTGGTGAATTTAATACCGAAGAGACTCGAAAAAGGCCCAATGAACAAAGGCAGACCAGTTGACTGTTAGTGCAGATAGAATTTATATCTTATTTATTATTAGTGTTAATTTTTTGTAAATAAAAATTGCTTTATTCTCTTTAATTAGCTCCTAATTCATCATGGTCTAGGTCAACCACTATTGACGAAACGGGAGTATCTGCAACATTCTGAACCATTCTATCAGCTGAGTATAAACGAATCACAAAAGTCATTGATATAAAGACTCACCAAGGCTTGTTTATCATTATTTGGAAAAAAGCTTATTTCAATATAAATGCTGGTCCCCATACGAACCCACAAATGTTTTACCGGGACCCGTTGCTCCAGTTTCAATTTAAAATGTACATCTGTTTTATTTGGTATTTCTCACCAGGCAGTTGAAGTCAGTACACAAACAAACGTGTAAGCACAAAGTGGCGTTTTAATCTGTACTGCGAATGTTTGTACAAGTATAGAGTCTATTGGTGTGAAACTCTGTGTTCGAATGGACCGGTTACACACGAGTCAAGGCTAACAGGCCAAACTGTTTCCACGATCCGAACACAGTCTGAAAGCAATCACTTCGACCGCGGACAGAACAGTTTTATTTGGAAAATGTTCTCGAAAACACTGAAAAAATATTGACACTTTCACTCACAGAAAAACTGCTGTTCAGGATAAAGTCCAAAATGCATCTAAAGAAGTGCTATTTTTTACTGAAGAAGATCTCATCTAGACTCAATGCAAATTTGCACAGAGAAGACTGTGATGTTGTTGTATTCGATGAGTCAAAACGAGACCGAAAGTGCCCTCAGTAGGCATGCGTACAAAAATCGTTGTAGGTAGTTACCTATCATTATTCTCTTGAGTGAATAAATTATATAATATGATTTCATAGTTTCTCTCCCTAATGGGTTTTTCGCTTCTGTGAAGTATTGTTACATTAATAGTAATACGGCCATGAATAATATTTGTAGTGCAGTGCAATAGGTTTGCTAATATTAAAATATAATATTTCAATGCAGCAAAAATGAAATCACCATACAGTGCTTAAGCATCACATGAACACACAACGGAGTAGTTTTGAATGGACGGTACACCTTCGGTCAGCGGTACACATCAAACGAGCTGGTGGTAATCGTTCAAACCCAGACATGCAGTGTTACAACCTTCGCGTATCACCACCAGGTTACCCGGACCGGTTCCGGCAGTTGGTCCTAGTTCACCAATAAGAGAGTTGCAGCCTGCGGATATATAATCCTCAAAAGATTTCCAATTATTAAACCTTTATCTCCTCTAATAGATCAGTAAGGTTTCGTTTTAATTATATATAGATGTGATGTTTATGGGATGAAACAACATAATAGCTCCCTGAAAGGCTAATTTGCGGTGTTAACCGCTGAAAATGTCCCAGAAGTGAAGGCGGAATCTTTTTTGGCCGCGAAGCCAATCAGTTAATGGACGTAATAAGCTAAACAATTGGGGGCAAAATGCAGATAAAGCTGGTACCCCCCCCCCCTTAAAAAAAGAGAAAAGATTTCATTGTTTTAACTGAAACAGGGAGTGGAAAGTCTGGGATAGACGGACACTTTTAAGACAGTAGACGAAAACCTCGGAAATGAACTTCCAGTGAGCAGCTACCTAAAATACACTAGGATAGATTGAGTGAGTTAGATTATTGTATTTAAAACGTTCGAACGTGGCGCGTAAGAGGAAGCCATGTTCTTTGCGTGAAATGCTTTGCCTTACAGGTCTAACTTTAACCCCGATCCACGGAGCACCTGCCTGCCTGCCAGTGTTTTCTCGCACCCCGTATCCCATCTCTCTAGCGCCGTTCGTCTCTCGCTGCGAGAAAATGAACCGCGGGACATCCTGTCGTGCATCTCTGTTCACTCTGCTGCACTGTGAGAGCCCGAAATACGTTTGCATTACAGTTTCACTGCTAAGCCATTGCATGATAAACTGGAATATGCAATACATTAGTATCAGTACTATTACGAATACGAATTTAATTACGGGGTTTATCGTTATTATTATCAAAGAATTCTTTGTTCTGGGAGCAGATAATTCCTACGAGTGGTTTGTGAGAGCATCTGGTTGAGTAGATGAGCCCCGTTATCCTGTTTCCTTGTTGCATAAAGCGTGAGCATTAATTTTAATTTTTTTCTCTTATTTTCAGGAAAAAATATTGGTTGATTATTAGCTGTACGGGGTACTACGAGCTGTCAACTTTAGGAGTGGAATTAGTGTTTCGCCGAACATGGACGGCTGTTTATTATGATAGCGGTTCCGAAACGAGCTCAGATCAGAGTTAAGCATTGAAACACTGTTTTCCGCAGTGTGTTTTATACCAGATATGTTTGATAATTTTACTAGTGAAAAGCAAAATGTCATATTTTTATTAAGAAAGACAACCACAAGTGTGGAACAGTGAAACAGTAAATGGCGTTTAACTTGCGGATGATCATCCTCTTGATTGTTCGAAACAAAATTAGCCAATGTGATATCGAGCACAACTATTTTCGAATATCTCCGCAGTTAGTCAGTTCCCTGACTTGGTTACATTTATCCACTATTACAACTCACTCACTCAGTTCTGTACGGGCTTCTGATCTACCTCCTAGTTTCAGTTGCACATTGTACTGTACTGAATATCGTCCCAGTTGTCCTGAACAATTTCAAACGTTGTGAGGGCAAATTTCTCACAAATGAAGTTGATAGATGGTAAACTTCAAAGGTTTGATCCCCAATTGGGTCGATGGATTCGCACTGCTGATAAGACCCAACCAGGTCGAAACAGCGGTCCAGTGCTTCCTCGCTTTTCAGTTTATGCTTCATTTGCCATATCCACGAAAAATTCGCCTTTGAAATTGAATCAAATCCTCCATTGCTCATTTGAGATAGTCAACTGTTTCCCCCTTTGTTTCGGGTAGGCTTAATAAACTGATTGACTACAGTCGGCCTGTTGACATGTGAACAAACTGGAATAGGAAATTCGGGTCCGTCCCGTGATGTGAGCTAGTTGACACGGTGGACAAACTCATGCCTTTCGTGGAATTGGGCTCAGATGTTCAAAGCCCGGATGGAGGGTTGATCTGCATCACAGATGAATTCGGACAACAGTGAAAATCGCACTCAGTGATTGTTGAATGCATGATTGATTGGATTAATTGAGTATTGTGCTTGCACTTGAAGTTTGAATCTAGGTCGGTACAAATTTCGCACCAAATATCCTACATTACTACTCACATTACTACTGGAAGAAATCCATATGATTTTGTTTTCCAACACACAAATGTAATTAACTGTAAGAGAATCCGGGATAAGTTGTACGATGTGAAACAAATGAAATTATGCGCAACCAACAGCATCATCTGAAAAATGAGATTTATTGGTAACCCACTTGAGTGACAAAAATGCTCCCTTGTTGATGAAACAGTCTCCTGTAAACTAGACGAAAGATTATTGAAAATCCGTATGTATTTTTTTCAGACGTGAATGATAGGTATTGATCACCCAAGCATTTTTCATTAGGTAATGCTGGAACCCCTGAACCTGTTCCCTCTCTTACTGTCACCTGATTCTGCACTACCTGACTGTCAATCGGTTACTGAACGTGGCCTCTTTCCGGATCAGTGTGGGGGCCCTGTTTTGGTTATGCGTACTGAATGAAATTCAAGTATATTGCTATTATTTGCGCCAATAGTTTTAATTCCTGTTTTGTACCAAAAATTATGAACCTTTAAAGAGGTTCGAAGCTCGTCTCATGTGATCCCAAGTGATACGCAGACAATCAACACTAGCGTTGTTGGCAGGTTTTCTCAACTGCTCAACTTCTGACACGAATGGGTCCCCTCAGATTCAGGGTTATACAAAAACAAAACGAAACAGGTTTGACCGGTGAGATAGCTCAATGACTTCATATCAGTTAAATGTTCAATACAAAAGCTTAAAGGATTTTGGGAGCTATGGCTCCCAAAAGTTTCAATGAAGACTTTCACTTCTTTGAGCGGAACACAGTCCTGCGAGTTCATTCGAATACTTAAGGTATTCAAAACCAATTTATCTATATAGTTTAGACTTGACGATAAACTTGTAACATAACATTAAACAACTCATCCAAAATCTTCGTGAACATTTCGTGGGTTCGAATCCCATCGAGGCTACTGAACTTTTCACAATCGACACAGAGGAAATCCTTTGTTTACGATTTTCTGAATTTATTCATAAACCAAATTAAATTACTACATATCGGTAAATCAAACAAACGCTGACTGCTGAATGGATCACAGAAGAAATCTACATAGATATTTTTTTGAGTGGTACTTTTTATTGGCAAATCTTGATGAGGATGGAACAACAAGATCATTTCGGTATCCATGTGACACTCACCAAATGTGATGTTCGTGCGCGAAGGATGACGGGAAAATATGAATACAGTGGACAGGAATCAACAACGACTGGGCGATGGTATTGCGAAATCACAAAGATGAACAACAAACATGTATCGATTCACCCGACAGCTCACTGTGTCAACTCCACGAGAATGATGAGCAAAACCGGATGAACACAAATGTGAACATTTCTTTTCATTCTTCAGATTTCACGCACAGAACTAAATTATGCTCATCCAAGTTTAATGAGGAGGATGAATGGAACGGTTTGATTCCGAATGTCTAGGATTAACAATGTTGTACTGAACAGAGAATTCTTGAAATTACTGATGTATCCAGTGCATCAATAGGGCTATTATGACTGATGCAGGATGTCACTTGTTGCCTCAACTGTTCTTCAACCAAGCCCACTTGTAGCTGGCTTGGCATAGGCTGGTAAAGGTTGTCCAGAATTGGAATACCAGCCTAGATCTCGTTTGTTCGACACCTCGGACTCGCCGGCTACTGGTGGCGGTGGTGGTGGCGGTGGCGGTGGTGGACCGACTGGGATGACACACTCAATGATTGTTTCATTGGAACATTCCGGCCCACCGGCCCGGGTTGTTTTGTCTTTGCCCAATGAAGGCGATGCACGGGATGCACTTTCCGGCTTGCAACAGCAACACACAAGGAAGAGAATCAATGCCAATAGTCCAATAAACAATCCAACTCCCATCAATGCACCCTGGGCCACCGGGCTGAGACCAGTGGTTCCGTTATTTTCACATTTGACAATTACGGCCCGATTAAGAAAACCGAATAGCGGACCTAAAACACTTATTTTTGTTAAAATTCTTTCACTCATCTTTGCGGGTAACTGCAAAATGTGGTAACCATAGGCGAGTAAAAACTTTTCCGAGGGTGTCAAATGCAAAAAATGAAGGTGAATTCACCGTTTTCACCCACTTCTATCTACCGATCACCTATGAGACAAGGCACGATATGTGTGAGTTTATATCGACAATATTTAACAGGGAAATTTTAATCAAATTGCTGAAGATGAGTAGACCAACTGGGGATTGGTCCGCAATGTATGACCTTGAATGGTTGCTAAGTTTACAGGTTTTAGGATGGGCCCACGCATGTGTATAACTGTTCATCCGTTCCTATTATCATTGTATCCGTTGTTTGTTTGCTGGTTTGTATGTGTGCATATGTGTGCATATATATATATATATATATATATATATGTGTGTGTGTGTGTGTGTGTGTGTGTGTGTGCGTGCGTGGGTATGGGAGTCTAGTCTTGGGACTTCACAAACATGACAGTTTGCGGGCGACCCAGACAGATAAACGTGATGCAAAATTCTGTGGTCGTTTGCGACTAGCTTTGCTTGCAAACTCGACACATTCAAGTGATTCCGATTTATGTTGATAACAAATCATTCTGATTACACTCCCGCGCTCCCCCCGTGTGGCTTATTATGCGCACAGTTCCAGGTACACACAGACATGAAAATCTGTAACCACTGTCATATGAGTCATCAGTGTTTTGAGAAAACTGGAGAAAGAGATACTTGTTCCCACAACATCAATTGGTTCACTCACTGTGTTACGTCACTGGGTAATTAAAAGTTGAACAATGTAAGTGATCACCTTTACGGAAGTGAAATAAGTTTGTAGGTGAACACTATGGGGACTTTGTAATGCAACAAAAATGAAAATTAAAGCACAGAGTTCGGTCTAACTGAGCACAATGAGAGAAAACTATTTATAAAGAATAATACGGAAAGAAAAACATCAATGATTTCACGTGTGTTTCACGGCACATTCGTGATTTTGATTTGGACTAGACTACATCTTTCCCACTCCATCTTTAAACACAATGCTCAACTCAGTCAGTCAACTATACATTCGCAAAGCATTGGATGCGAGTTTCGCCATAGTTGGATCTCCGCAGCAACGCATATTCACCGGTTTTCGTTACTCTCAGATCAAAGAAGGACGGGCTGAATATCACTGCGAACAGCACCTAAACAAACATACATTGGCCGAGCGGTTCAGCCCTGGTGTGAGCTGGTTAACACAAGGATGACACATAGGCCTTCCGCACGATTGGCGCCCAGTTTGAAGCTCAAGCAGGACGATGGAAATTCACAACTGCAGAGCCCGAGTGTAAGGTTGACTGGATAAACTAAGGATTGTGTATGAAGATAGTTGTCCTAACTAGTGACACTCTTGCTTCCTGGGACCCCAGCCTGGGATTTACTAACCGAAATCAACGATGTACATAACTTATTCGTACAACAGAGGAAATTAATTGTGTTCACTGCCGTCAAGCCTCTTCCAGCCTTGCTCAGCATATGCAAAGTGAGCATGAAGAGGTAAGCAATGGTCAGATAAACACAAAACATCACCAAACCTACCGGAGGTGTGTGGATCGCTTTCTTCCTTAAGAAAACAACTGTCATCACCCAACACACGACAATGCATCTCATTATTGCTCATCGGATGTTGCTACCAGACACACGTAATGCATTGAAAACAAATTTTATTGGCATCCACGTCCACTGGACTTTGGAAAACATGCTTTTGCACTTTTGCAAACAGAATGAATATACGCGCATGCTCTACCAGCTGAGCTACGAGGCCACACCGATAGCACTGATCTTGGGTTCGAATCCCACCGAGGCTGCTGAACTTTTCACAATCGACATACAAACTTTAAATCTGCGAAACAACTATTTGAAGAATGAATATAGTCAGCTTACCGTACTTGTACTATTCAACATTACGAAATCTACGAGTCAACCCCGAATGTCTTTCATCTCAAGACTTGCACTTATTCTAACGTTGAATCCGTCGGTCACCCCGAACTGAGGAACTGGTGCTGTTTGGTGTTTTCGAATCGGTTTTGAAACTTAGCTTCTGTCGAGATGGGAACAGCTTGGAATTACTGGTACCAAAAAAAAACACATTGCGTTCTTCACCAAAAATGGCACAAACGTCTTAGAATTGTTTCCAAACTGTCTTCGCCGACTGAAATGTGCAACTGTGCATGAGTAAGAGCTCTTGCTGAAGTTCAGAGCAACTATCACCGGTAATTATTCGATCACGTGACTGGATTTGCAGTTGATCTCCAGTGCGATCACACTGTGATGCTTGAGGTTGTAGGCGAAGAATAAACTTGTGTGTATTGATTTGCACCGCGCGTGAATCAAATTTGTCTCGTTCAGCGACCTAGAAATTGGCTTGTTGTAAATGTTTCAAAACAATGGGGCTTCTGGAGGATTCGTCAGACAATGATATAAAAGGCAAATTCTTCAACAGGAAATGTACATCCTTTCCGATAATCGTTCAGAAATTAACAGCTTTATGTTCTCCATAGAGACCTTTTCGCATAACATATGAAGTCTCCAACCCCATTCAAGGTAATTTCTCACCTCTCGAGCACTGGCATGAAAGTTGAAAGGTTCTCCAAACTACAGGAATCCATTTTATTCGAAACGACCGCGACACCAGCTGCTGTGGTTTGTACTAGAAATAGAGACTTGTATGCCTATCGAATTACGTGAAGTAATAGTCCAGCCCAGCACTAGAACTCGGAATGAAATCAGAACTTAGCACTCAAAAATGAAGTTATATTGTAATGTTCTGAGAACCAGAATGTACAAGCATATTGTGTTCAATAAAATAAAGGAGTTCATACTCTACGCAAAATCATCACACTGCCTCGGTCTAACATTCATCGCGTGAGTGGCCTTTTGACAAATCTTTAATCCACCTTCCTAAAAACTGCCGATAACGAAGAAGGCAGAACAAAAATCAGAGAAAATGGAAGAAAATATGAAAGCACATGTTCAGATGCGAACAAATGCTTTCATTGATCTATCTTTAAGCCTGTGCAGATCATATAAAGAAATGATGTATTAAACGAGGGTACACATTCATTTATTCAAAAGTCACCGTGTAGGATTTTATTTTCGAAAAAACCTCCTTTTCAAAGACTCATTGAGTGCGATCATAATACCTGCGGGAAATGATTCGAACCTTCGAGATTTCTGCTCATCTCATGACACATTAGAACCAAATATATATATATGATGAAATAGCGGTTCATTGATATCTGCCTTCCACCCTCAAAAACGTATTTCGAGAGCAAACCGCAGAGTACTGGGTAGTAATGTTAATTTGTTTCCAATAGACCCGGGTAACCTTCGGGAAGAGGGAAGCAAGCTGTAAGTGAGTGAGGCTTGTAGGCGAATAATTGAATAATGCCACGCTTCTCGCTAGTTGTTTCTTCATAAATTTGCCTGCACCTGATGGGGGCAGGATTCGTTTAAATTTAGCATGCTATACGATGGAAGACGCTTTGGTATTACTAACTGTAGGACCAGACACATTGTGATAACTACGATAGAACATCCAGTTTGTGATGATCTAAGCCAGGACTGAAGTTCCGAAGTGTGGTTTGATTCTGGTTTTTTCGTCTTGTTTACCGACAATTAACTACGGAATCAAACAAAACCTGGAAATTAGAGCACTCGATTCGACTATCGCCGTGTTTTGTGACTGACTTGGTACAGTTCAATTGACCCTGACCCTATGTGAGATGAACCGTACCATTTTGGCACGGATGTATGCAAAACTGACAAGTACCCATGGATCAATACAATCAATTCCATGGGTGTTTGTGCACATGTTTACCGTCCCGCTGAAACAGATTGAAGCTCTGATGGAATCCGATTGCATCGCATCGGTAAAAGCAATAGTGTCCGGTTTATCACCTATTTGCACATTGTCTCGTTGTCCCCCTAGTGACCACATTACCATAACAACAAAGACAAATAGTGCTGAATGGAATTTTCTCATCGAATTACTGACGAAACACGGGTAAAAGAAACCACAGTTGCGGGATAATCAGAAAGAAATGGAAACGGCATTGAGAACAGGGGTTTTTCTCTCTCAATATTCGAGGAGTTATTAAACTTGCTGGTGCAGATGCTGGTGCAGGTGTTGGCACAGGTGTTAATTTTGAAGCATATGGGAAAGAATAGCAGATTGGATGGAAGAAGACTGAATCCGATAGCAGACGAGAATGGGTTTCGTCTACTCATTCGCTAGGCAAACGGGTTAGCATGAAAAGGACTACCTANCGAATCAAATATTTCCAATACAAATCACATCGTACACTTTGAGCGGATTAAGTTGATATTTCCGATTTCTTGGAAACCTCAGTGGTGAAAAAATATTGTAGACAAATGATATTGCTCAGAAAGCTGACTAGGTGATATGATATAACAATCAATTGTCAGTATGTTTGTTACATAACCGAAATTGGTGATGCAGGAACTTTACTAGTGTCTGTAATTTGCATGTACACTTAGTCCATTTGTTCCGCCACGGTAAGGTGTAATCAAAAGTGGCTAATTCTCGTACAGATGAGTCTTAGTCTTAGTCTTCATTTTTGAAGGCAGAGGGGCAGGATACCCGTGTAAGCCCCGTCACCATTGGGTTGAAGGCCCGATCAAACGTGGTCATCCCTCCATAGCACCTTGAGGTGCTCATAAGACGCCGGTTGAAAGCAGCCTCGGTCGTCTCCTCCACCACAGTCGGTTTAATGAAATTCCAGAGTGATGTTTACCTCCCCGGGAGTCCGTAGACTAACGGAACATAAGAGAGTGTCTCCGTGTGTCTTCCAGTGCCCTTAGTGGCTAATGCTGCTGCAAATCCGGGTCCATATCGGCCCTCAGGATCTTCCTCAGGCATATCATATCCCTGATGCTAGGAATAGACCAGCAGCCTGAATGCGATCTTCATAGCTCCCCGACGTAGTCATACAACGAGTTTTATGGCAGCAAAATG